AGGATAGGTCTCCCCAGACCGATCCACTGGCTGTGAACATTCTAAACTAACACGAGTCTCATTAAGTGTCCAGTTTAAGGGTATTACATAGAAACATACCAAGGGAACATGAATCAAATATGTACTTTTATTCATTTGCAATAAACTCATAAAGTACATCATTCTGATTGAAGCTAAGGGCATACAAAACTGTCTAACATGATCTCATTGCCATGTGGCATTTGTCCTAAAATACTATATGTAAGTAAGTTTATCAAATAAACATTTGTCTTGATTTATGTGTAAGTCAACTGTTGGGGAAAGCTTCATTTTAGCTATTCCCCAACATCAAGGCGTTTATTTATTGTTTTGCATATATGGCACCTAATGGCCTCTAATGGTGCCTAACTGTCAAGTAATAGTAGAAAAACGTTTATCAACCACTTTCTCTCGGTTTTGATGATAAATCAAGTACAAATGTTTTTCAAATAAATGGAAACCATGCCAAACATTAGGGGTGTTCACGGGTCGGTTTATTGGGGTTTTCCCAACCGACCCGACCTGGTCGGGTTACCTAAGGAGGAAACCGAAACCGACCCACTGATAGGCCAAACCGACCTAGTCGGTTTGAGTCGGGTTGGGTCGGTTTCGGTTGGTTTCGGTTTTGCTCCTGTACAAAAGGACACCTAATTGAATTCTAATTGTACTTGCTTAATGGGTTGCCTATTTGGTGTAAAAGATTATAGAAAGTTAGAAACTATGATAGATTGCCTATTCTAATTGTAATTGCCTAATGGGCCTTCTAGTTCTAGTAGAAGACTAGTTATAGTTAAGTAGGAAACTACTCAAAGTAGGAACTACCGAACTAGTAGAAGACTAGTTCGGTTCGGGTCGGGTTGGTTTTGATTTTCACACAAGAAAACCGAAACCGACCCGATATATCGGTTTATATATTTGCCCAACTCGAAACCGACTGGTACTGATGAAAACCCGGCTGACTCAGGTTGGGTTAGTCTGGGTTGGTCGGTTTGGTCGGGTTGGGCATTCTTATGAACAGCCCTACCAAACATCACCTTAATGGTCCGAAGTATTTATTGGATTAGATTAGACCTGGTCCATCCACAATGAATTTATATTAGATTGAGTTGGATTGGACAAATATCTAGTCCATTGATAAAAAATAAGAAGACGAATGTCAATGGACCGGACCGGTTTGGGTTGGAATTGGTCTAAATTAAAACCAATTTAAATATATTGGACCAAATTCGGTCCAATGGAAACCTCTACACCCGAGTAAGTTCTATGCATTATCGGAAGCTAATGAGAAAATGGAGACAGAGGTGAACTGATTGGTTAACTGAATGCCCAAAGCATCCTGAGTGCAAAATTGGATTTTTGAAAATATTTTACCAGTAGGTGAGATAACATCCATGACAGAATTCTAACTGAGGGCATGTTTTTGTGTGACGAGGTCACCCAAAAGGGGAGGCATTAGTCATTTTGAGAAAAAGAAAGGTCGGTAGTGTTCAAGTCTTTTATTCTTAGGGTCTATTTGGTTTAGAATCGGAATTAATATCTAAATTCTTCCAAATTGGAATTAGAATGGTTTATTCCCATAGTCTGTATAGGAATGGGAATGAGAATTAGAATCTGGAATTGGATTTCATTCCCAAAGGAGAGAGGGAATGAGTAATGACCATTCACTCAAATGGGAAAATGCATTCCACCAAGAATGGAAATGGGATTCTGATTCTGCCCAACCAAACAGTTGAATCAGAATAGCCCACTCCTGCGAACTAAATGGGACCTTAATTAATTTGTTACTTGGGATCCAAGGTCCATCATAAGGAATGACTTGCCGACCAAACTAGATCAGCATCTTGACTTTGATAATTAAATAAACTTGGCGTCCACCTACTGAGCGCGTATACTTTAATCTCATTCCTCTTGTTATATAGTTGTAGGAAGTAGGAAATTTGTACAATGAATCCAGAGGAGAGTTGTTTCATCCTCCAAACCATCACCAAAACAAGAGCTAGCAACCCAGAAGCCAGAACTCTAGCCAGTACACTGAAATCATCAACTGAATCGATGGCTTCATTCAGTTCAAAAGCATCAAACATGTTCTCACTCTCCAACCTGCCTTCGGCATCAACAATGTTCTCCACCTACGCCTCCTTGGCCACTTCCACCATGCTCATTCGATCCATGGTCAATGACTTCATACCCCACCAACTGCAATCCTACATTCTCTCCGCCCTCCGCTCCCTCTTCGCCCCCCGCCAGGCTTCTCAGCTCACACTCATCGTCGAAGAGTATTTCAGTGGGATGAACCGCAACCAGGTCTACGAGGCCGCCGAGATGTACGTAAGCGCTATAGTCTCACCCTCAGTCGAGCGTCTGAAGGTGTGCAAAGCTCCGAGAGAAAAGAACTTCACCTTCACAATAGATAAAGGCGAAGAGGTGGTTGATTGCTTCGAGGGAGTTCAGCTCAAATGGAGGTTTGTCTGCTCTGTTGACGAGAAGAGTAGCAGCACAGAGCAGCGATACTTTGAGATTAGCTTCAACAAGAGAGACAAGGAAAAGGTGTTGGGTTCCTACTTGCCACATGTCTTAAACAAATCAAAGGATTTGAGGGAAGAGAACAAGGTGGTAAATCTCTATACTCTTGGCTGCTTCTACGACGACATGGGAGGAGGAGGTGGTGGTGGTGTATGGGGATCAATCAATCTGGATCACCCAGCAACCTTCGACACACTGGCCATGGATCCTGAGCTCAAGAAGGCTCTGATAGATGATTTGGACAGGTTTGTGAAGAGAAAAGACTTTTACAAGAAAGTGGGCAAAGCTTGGAAACGAGGGTATCTGTTATATGGTCCACCGGGCACCGGAAAATCCAGCTTGATTGCTGCCATGGCCAATTACCTTAAGTTCGACATCTATGATTTGGAGCTTTCGCAGCTCCGGTATGATTCAGAACTCAGGAGACTGTTGGTTGCCACGGCGAATCGATCCATACTTGTGATTGAAGACATTGATTGCAGTGTTCAGTTGCATGATCGGCAGTTTGATGGGACATACGAGGTTCCAAACGATCAAGTGAGCTTCTGGTTCTGGGCATTCATATTAGACAACTGACGATTATGGCTTGACGTATTCTTTTGATAGCTTCTGATTGAATTAACGATTTATTTGTTTTTGCTGCTGCAGCTGACTCTGTCAGGGGTGCTGAACTTCATCGACGGCCTATGGTCGAGCTGCGGGGATGAGCGGATAATTGTCTTCACAAGCAACCACAAGGATCGGCTGGACCCTGCACTGTTGCGCCCTGGTCGCATGGACATGCACATCCACATGTCCTACTGCACCATGGAAGGGTTCAAGCTTCTAGCCTTCAATTACCATGGCGTGAAGGAAGATCACCCCTTGCTTGGAGAGATTGAAGGCCTGATGGAGAACACAGAGGTCACTCCGGCAGAAGTGGCTGAGGAGCTAATGAAGAGTGATCAAGCAGACACGGCCCTCAATGGGGTGATCGATTTTCTTAGAAGAAAGAAAATGGAAGAAGAAAAAATAAAGGCGGATGAGAAAGGAAAAGAACCAGCTGACTGTCAAGAACCGAATAAAGAGCAGAAAAGTGAGAATGAAGGTGGAAAGAAACAGGAAAAAACAAATAAAAGAAGGAACACAAAATCAAGAAAATCGTATTCTAGGAACCGCCGCCGGCCGACAAAGGCGAACCCAGAAATCTTTTCCCAGTGACAATCCGCTGGCATCGTTATCATTCAATAACAATGAAAAAAAAAAGTTCTTAATTTGAATTTTTGTGCCAATCAATGAGAGACACCACAGCGTTCCCAATGGTTGTCCAGTGAGGTTGAAAGCTTTTCCATAAATTAATGATCACTTTTTTCTTTTCCGGTCAAAACACAGTAACGTTTAGTGAAATTCCTGATTTGGGCTAAAAGGAAATTGAATTTGATCCATGCCATTTATCATCAATTTGGCAGAATTTTCTCGGAATCATCATTACAGATCAATTCGATTGTGTTTAGTGGCTGTGGAATTGATTCCTATTGAATCAGATATTCTAATTCCATTGTCCAATTTTGAATTCTAATTGATCTTTCACAAATCCGTTGGATATACGAGGGATACATTTATTGAACTGAATTTGAATATACCCCTATTAAAATTAGGGCTTCAAATAATATCCATTTGTCTAAGTTCATATTTGTTCCACTTAGAGGGTTGATCCAAATTTTATCCATCAATACTTGGATCGAATATGTACTCACCCCACCTGAATATACAAAATTAATTTATATTTTATATTGTATATAGCCTTCACCTAAGGGATACACCACCTTCACCAAAAGGGCATTATGGGATTGGGGGGATGGGATACGCCCATTATGTAGCCTCATAAAACTAAAAGAAGGTTCAAACAAGTTATTTTCAATTAATCTTGTTTATGATATATAATAATAAAGCTATTCTGGTTAATTTTATCAATAATAAATAAGTTGAAATTATCAATACTATTTAATATCTAAACTAGATTCAAATTCGATGCATTTGATAAAACTGAATTCTCATGCATCTGAAATCAAAAAAGATCTAGGGTGGCTTTTGCTTTTTTTTGTTTGTTCTTTGATATAGTTTTAAGCGTTTAGAATATGATCTGAATGTAGTGATTTCTGAGAAAGAAATTGTTTTTACATGTGAGTAATTTTTATAGATATGAATAAAAAAAAAAGAGGAAAATGATATTGATTCCATTAAATGCAGATAAAGAGAAGCAAAAGATAAATGGTGGTGTGAGAGAGGTATGGTTTTAAGTAAGAGTAAAAGGTAGGGGTGCAATCGAATCTGATATTATACGATTTGAGGTGTGCTGAACTAAATACGCAACAGATACATCCTACCAACTAGATGAAGCCAAGATGGAAGAACGAAGTCGTACACCAAGGAAATTTGCAATTAGAGAAGAATCAGAGGCCCGAGGATGAGGTCCCCAGGAAGGCACTTCGATGCTCAAGTCAGTAATAAAATGATGAAATCAACCGGGTTGAGTTGTAAATGACGAGTTAGAGTTTAGAAAGTTGAAGATCCTTTACAATGAGGGGGAGATGCCTTTAAATAGAAAAGTGTCCGAGTTGTAGTTGGACAAATCCTTGTGTGGTTATCAGGATGAGGCCACCCATCGAGGTCTTCGAGAGGCTTTGCCTTTCCCAACAAGGGCATTTCTCCTTGTCCATGTAGGAATCTACTTCTCTATGATATCTTCAATGATGTAGTTGTCCACTTAGGTGGGCAACGTGATGATATGGTCCGAATATGTTGACCACGGAAGCATCCACGTGGCAGCTTCGGCTAGCTAGGACACCACCCGAACAGAACCAAACTCTAATCAAATAGTTTTGGCTCAAGTTTGATTCTAATCAAGTTCGAATTGATCTCAAATCTCAAGGTAAGCTCAATTAGTTATTTGAACCCGAGTTTAACCAATAAAAAGTTTGCGACCCTGGCTCGATTTATATGTATAGAATATAAAAATATATTTTATGAAAATATTTTTAGGTAAAATATAATATAAGAGTATTATATTATAAAAATATATTCACTTTCAAGCTTTTGAGCTAGATTCGAGCTCATTGGATATTTAATTAAATCAAGCTCGAACCTAATGGTATTTTAGTTGAACTGAACCAAGACATGCCAAACGTTTGGTTTAGCTCGGCTTGATTGCACCCCTAGTAAAAGTTATAGGCATTTCTATCAAAGTGTGAATTTACTTTTCAATACTTAGTTTGGAAAGAGTATAAATACAAAAACAAGGTTTAGAAATAATGCATATTAAGCTTTTGCACCATACATATTTGTATTTGTTGTTGGAGATGTAGTTTAGAAGTTTGGTGGAAAAATTGTGTATCTAAAGATACTTTTTAGAACACTATTTGTCTCTACTCAAATGATTGAGTTTGTTATTTGGTTGTAAGTAAACCCATTCCCAAGATACAATAAAACCTCGGATAAGAAATTGCAACCAAGAAAATTAAAGGATTTCTAGGAAACCTCCTGTGAAATGATAGCAATTTAGATTAAAAGAGACAAGAGTGTGTTTGTGTTGTGAACTTGTGTGCAAAACAGCTTGCTTACACTCTTTTTATAAATTTTGGAGATTCACCACGAAAATGAATAATTTTGTTTGAAGAGGCTCTTTGTACAATCACATATTTAAATTATATAATTATTCATAGTTAGTTAATAGTTAATGAATGTTGGCATTTAAATGATGTTTTTTGGTCATATTTGATCAAGCCATGACTATTGGATTTAACTTAAAATGTCAACAATCATAATTTAGCCTCCCAAAAGTGTTTAGTTGCAGCTTTTGTGTAAGTTTGTGCGTTTCATAACCCAACTCAAATGCGATTTACGATTTGTGATTTCTATATCACAATGAAAATCTCACTTGCGATTTGTGATGAGATGGTTGTGATGATCATCTCATCTCACCTGTGACATTTGGCCTACCTCATCGCACTACACGCAGGTGCAAGTAAAATGTGCCTCATTGTGCTATACGCATGTGTGCTTGCATTGTGTGGTAGCAAGTCTCTATATTCTTTTCGTTATATTTTCATTTGCTAATTTCACAAGGAGTATAAGTTGGTCAACCAGGTAATTGACTAGCTTCCCATGTTCTTGGCCATGGGTTCCACAAAAAGCTAGCAAATATTTCAGAGAGTATTGGCTACCCTTCTTAGAGGGTAGCCACCCGCCCCTCTTTTTACTCGAGTAAGTGAAAGCCATAAGAACACTGGCACCAAAATTATTCAGAAAACTATCCAAGTACATTATCCAAGGTAAGTGCATTATATGGGATAAAACTACCCTTCCTAGGTAAGTGCATTATCCAAGTACCAAAAAATGAACAACGCCTAAGGAGTATAAGTAAGCTTCTACTTAAAAACGACAAGTTTTATAATTTTTTAATATGGGATAAAACTCCAACAAGAAAAAAAGAAAACAAAACAAAATAATAATTTTGATGAGAACTTTGAAAACTACCAAGTGCATGCGTTAAATGTGCTCAACTATATAATTAATTAATCAAACCCATTAAGATGCAATTGGGCATCTTAGCCACAAGGAATCTTCAAATTTAAGAATCTGGATCTAGATTGAGTTGGGATTTCTCAAAACTCTTCTAATATGATTTGTGTTCACACATCTCACCATAAACACTCTTCACTATGTCCACACATCTCACCATAAAACTAGGACCAACCATGTATAAGATGTGTGGGCACGGATTGTGTTGGAACATGTTTTTGTTAAGAAGAGATTCAGACTCATTCAGTTGTTGTGTACCAATGGGTTTGGGTGTTTTCTTCTCAAACTTCATGCATCCATTCAATACAAACAAACGAATCCCAAGTAAATTCGAATCTACCTATATGTTGTTTAATCCAATCCATTTTGCAGCCTTAAACAAATTCAATTCAACCCATTTACAGCCCCTTTCTTCCTAAGGATGCATGCTTGGATGATCAAATTGAAGTAGGGCTGCAAGTCGGGCCAAGTTAGGTCGGGTTGAGCCCAACCCTACATTCTAAACCCCCAATCCAACCTACCTAACCCTAACTAAATTCCTTCAACCCTAGCCCAACCCAATCTTCTTCCCATCCCTTAAAATCTCGTGCAAACTTCTTAATCTTATATTTTAATTCAACTTTCACTACATATATTAATCATATGTTTTATTAAATGTTTGTTGATGTTTTTATCGGTTCTTTAAATACCACAATTTAGAAAAAAAATGTGTTGGAAATGACTATAGTTTATTATGAGTTATGACTTATAATAGGTCTTTTTGGGCAGCAAGCTATGGGTGGAAAATAATAGATAAGTGATAAAGAATAAAATATTCAAAAAGCATAAAATATGTTACTAAGGTTTCAGTATTTCTGATTAGGATTAAGGGTTATTCGTTTTTTCTTAACTCTTATTTCTTAAAAAGAATTTTTTAATTTTAAGAGAAAAATGGTTGTTCGCTTCCTCTTATCACTTATCTCTTAAAGTGCAATCATACAACTTTTTGTTTTCCAATGATATCCCCAAAAAGATAAACAAAAACTCTCATATATGGGGTCAAAATGGATATTTGATCATTTTCATAATTCAAAATTCAGAACAATATATCTCTTAATGTAATTATTGCATTTTCAGATATCAAACTTCAAAGTGATTATCTTAAAAGAAATAAATGATAGTATGTGGTGGGAGTTATACAACTATCATACATATAAACAACTCAATGTATGACATATCATATATATATAACATATATTTATATATGATATGTACTATAAAATAGGGTTTCAAGCAACCCTAATCCAAACTGAAGTAAAATCAGTTCATAAATTTCAACCCTAACCCGAACATCAACTAGACTGGGGTTGGGTTTGGCCAATTCGGCCCAAGTTGCAACTTTAAATTGAAGAATGAAGAATTCAAATTCGTCTAAGACACAATTTTGGCCTTGCTGGTTCAAAATTTTTCCATGATTTAACAAATTCTCAACGTACCCGGACTCTTATTTTTTTTTCTTTTTGTGACTATAAAAACTCCATTACCATATTGGCGCTTACCCGAATTTCACAACCGGGAAGCAGTTATAACTTAGAAACCGGATTGGATATGGGTCGCGGGTTACTTGATGGATTCTCCGATCCGATACCGCACTTTCTTTTCTGGCGATATATCATTTGAGTCAAGAATCGCTTCATGCTCTGCAGTTTGTTCTTGAGTTGTTGGAGTGAAGAAGGATGGGTGGTGAGTTAAGGTACGAGATCGGACAGAACGCTTACATCAAGCTCGTCCTCCACGCCCTAAAGCACAAGACCTCCGCCACTAATGGCGTTCTCCTCGGCCGTCTCGTTGACGAGGACCTCGTTCAAATCTCGGACTCAGTTCCTCTTTCCCACTCTCAGATCGGTCTCCTCCCAGCTCTCGAAATTGCTCTACTTCAGGTCAGGTCTCGCTTCTCTACTCAGTAATTTCTCACTCCTCTAATTCGCAATCTAAGCTGTATCATTCAATGACGTCGAAAGATGCTTGATTGCTGCTCATCAGATTGAGGAGCATTTTGGTGCGCAAGGGTTGAGTATTGTAGGCTACTATCATGCGAACGAGAGGTATGATGATTTCGACCTGGGGAGTGCAGCCAGGAATATTGGAGATCACATACATCGATACTTTCCCCAGGCTGCGGTGCTTTTGGTACGTTCTGCTGTGGTATCTGCCTATCCTTCTTTATTGGCTTTGGGAATTTTGATCTGCTTGGGGTCGATTAGTAGTTTTTAGTTGGTTTCTTTCTTTTGATTTCTTCTATTTCGTTTTTTAGTTGGATAACAGAAAACTTGAAACGCTGTCGGAGGGGAAAGACCGAAGCCCCGTTGTGCAGGTTTGTTTTCATTCTTCCCTTTTTTTTTCCCAAAACTGGTGCTTTTGATTTTTAGAAAAATATACAGAGCATGGTTGTTCCCATGCACTGTAAAAAAATCTTCACAAGTTTTAATAGTGTTTTATAATAATTACAAACTACGTCTTATACTTATAAAAAAAAGTTTGTGCTTAAAGTTGCAAATTCTATCGAACTGATCTTACTTTGAGTCATTATAATGCTTTACTTGCCAGTGCGGAGTTAGTTATAGATACATTTTGTAGGGTTGCTTATCCAATTTGCAAGGGTTGTGAATAAAAAAAAAACCATCTCAGTGGTCATCATGCTATGGTGAATATATGGTTCTTATTGAAAAGGAAGATTGAAGCTGGGAACAGTGGGGTATTGTTCCATGGTGGATTTGATAGGGTTTTACATAAGGAGATTTTCGAAGTGGTAAATAACACTTTATGACTTTTATAAATAGGAAATGGTGGCATTAGTTGCTTGGAGTAGTAGACATTTTCATTAGGACAAGTTGAAAATTTTCAGTGCCTTCTATTGGCCAAAATTTTGTTGAATGATATTCACAACCAAAAGAGCAACCTGAACCTATGTAATGATCTGGTGCAAGAGAATGTTGTTCCATGGTGATTTTTAACATTCAGTGCTACACTGTAAAACTAACTTCTGTATCCCTCCCATCCCAGTGTTTACAGACAAATAGATGATAAATGCATCGAATAGGTGCAATTTTTCTCTCATATTGATAATAAGGTGCCTTTGATGGCAGTTTCCTAGGAAACACCTGGGTTATATTGTGCCCAGGATTGATGTTTTTATATCCGGTGTTTGAATTTTATATATGGTGCAGCAAAGCTGTATCATATCATAAAGATGAGGGTAAAGAGTGTAAAAGGACTATCCTACTCTTGATTCTCTTTCTCATAAAAATAAAATAAATTACATGTGCTTCTTTATCTAGGATTTTGTGGGATCTCGAGTTGAGACAATGGCTAAGAGAAGGTGAAATTTTGCATGCACTGAACCTTACTCAGTTCTTTAGAGTGTTTCTCCTGACCATTTTGTTTTGGACGAACATCTGTGGCTCCCAAACTCTTAAGAAATTTTATCAGCTGTATTCTTCCTTTACATGCTATCTAGGTGCCATTTTCCCTTTTCTAGCAAAAGCTGATTGGAAAGGGCCGATACTTTGTTGGGAAGTGGTTCATATGAAAGTAAATACTTGTGAAATGCTACAAAGAAGACAATGGAAACTAAACTTTGATGACCAGGTTATATTTAGCTGAACTGGGGTCAAGTGATGTAGTTGCTGTTTCTGTTTCTGTATTGGGGTCAAGCATGTACTGTTTCTTTTTTTTTTTTCTTTTCTGTTCACCAATAGGTGCTAGCCAAGGCTAACCACTCCACAGGGCGTATTATTGAACTTGTACTTTTTAATTGTTCAATAAAGAATCTGTCAGTTACTCATAAAAAAACCCAAAAAAAAGAAGACCGTGCTTTTATTTTTCTCTCCATATTTGCTTTCTATGCAAAGCAAAAGGTGAAACTACTTCCCATCTACTAATCTTTTCTCCTTTGACCACTTGCATTTGGGAGTATGTCTTCTCTCTGTTTGATTGCAGATGGGACCCTCTACATAGCATGGGCAGACTGTTCTAAGGGGCTGTTCGATAACAGCTAAAAGTGGCTGAACTGAAAAGCTTATTACTTTGTCTTTTAGTGAATAAGTTTTAAGGAGGTTGTGGGTTCTTTAATGGCAGATGTTGAAATTTGGTAGATTTCCATACCCTTGATTATTTATCATTTCATTATTTTATCCACTAAAAGACAAAGGAAAAGAAGGAAGCCTTATCAACCTTCGGTGACAGGGGAAAGAGAAGAGATAGTAAAAGTTTTGCAGGGGCTACCGGCGCCAGGGGACGGTGTTGTAGCAGAAGGTAGGAAGGATGTTGCGACGCAGGCTTCGGGCCCGTTTGGCGTGTCTTTTTGGTAAGATCTTCTGGTAGCTCTAATAGTCAAAAGACACATTGAGCTTTTGCATGATGATCTGAGCAGCCCGAAGCACGTTTGGCAGATGCACGTCTTTCCGTGTGTCTTTCCGCATGAGAATAAAACGCGAAAGATGCGAAAAGCTTCATTTGGAGCTTCCCAAAATGGGCTTTTCACGTCTTTTCGGCGTTTTGGCTTTTGGTCTTCTGCACGCCAAACGGAAAGAAATCGAAAATCGATCTGCTTGGCTTGTAAACAGCCGAAAAACAGTGCGGAAAGACGCACCAAACGGGCCCTTTGATAGGCACGACAATGGAGCTGATTTCAATGGAGGACTAGCCGCTAGAGAAACTAGAGACGTCGTTCTTCACAACCCAACGTTTGGTGGGCATTTGAAAATTTAAGAGATTCCCGCTCTTTGCAGGAGGGCGGGTGGGAACAAATGTTTTTTTCGAGTTGGGGCACGGGTAGATTTCTATGGGTCAACCCAATTACATCCATTAACTCGACCGAAAGCCAAGTTAATGATGGGCTAGACTTGGCCACTTCAATGGTAAAGCCCATGGCGCCTAACTCCCCATACATAGTTGTCCCTCTCAAACCAATTTGGCAAAGGTTGGAGAGAATTAAGAACCCTCTGTAAACAATGGATGGCTTCTTTAGTTGCCATGAATATTCACCTAGGCCTAAGTTTAGCAGAGATGGGCCACTTATCCCTCCCCCTTGGAGAGAGGCAATTCCAACCCAGAGGAGGTCTTGGTGTGGGAGGTTAGGATGGGCTCTCAAGAGAAAAAAAGGTTGTGTGGAGTGGGAAATCGTTCAAAGTCAAGTGGAGAACTTTTTGGATTTTGGGAAGCTTCTAAGGTATCCTTCTTTGCAGAGCAAGAGCCTCAATTGTGAGATTGGATCAGCTCCTCTTTCGTCTGCGATGTAAAGGATCATAATCCTCAGTTTTCAAGGAGCTCGGAACCGGAGTCAAATTTGGAGACAAAAAGTTCCTAGTCAAATGTATCTTCTATACCATCAGTTCTGCGATCGGAAATGGGAAATCCAAACTATTGAGGGGATGTTATGATCTACCGGTTGTTACCCCTCCTCCTTAAGGAGCCCGTTGCATCAGGGGAAGGGGTAGAAGGCGTAGAGGAAGAAATAGCTTGGGCTGTTAAATTGAGGGTCTGTTTGCTCTTTCTTCTTTTGGAGGTCTCTTAGGCTTTGAGTTTTTCGGCTAGGCTGAGGAGTTGGTTTCAAATCTCCTTGTTGGTGCATGTTGTGTTGTTTTGTGGCCCTTGAGCTCTGTGCTCTAGGCTTCAACTTTTGTATACCTCTTGTATACTTTTCTTTCTTTTTTGATAAGTTTTACCTTATCTTTTCAAAAAAAAAAAATAGAAATCTCTTAAGAGACATAACTAAGTTGCTAGGGGAGTTGAGAGCTTACCTTTGGTGGATACCAGGGGAGGAAAACAGTTTAGCAAATTTGTTAGCTAAACAAGGGATGAACAGGACTAAGGGTCCGTTTGGTTTGCGAACAAGGTCGGAATCAGAATTGGAATCATAATCACCTATTCTTGGTGCCTGTTTAGTTCAGTGCAGAATCAGAATCTGATTCCAATTGTTGCTGTTTGGTTCAACTAGAATCCAGAATCAGATTCATCCAAAATTTCCAATTTTGCCCCTGTTAAAAGAACTTCCAAAACAACATTCAAAACACATTTTCACTGTTATAGGTCATAAAAAAATTATAAACATCTTTAGAGGAGGAAGATAGTAGGAAGAAGAGGGGTGGTTGATTTGGAAGAAGGAGAGTGGTTGGTGGCAGTTTTACCTCGTTGGAGATGGAGTTGGCGGCAGTGGCGGCTAGTTGGATGGAGGAAGATATGGAAGCAAGAAGGAGATGCTTAGAGCCTTCAGGCTTAGTCGATTAGGGATGTGAAATCAAAGGGGGTGTTTTTGTCATAAAAAATAAAAATACATTAGACATTGATCAAAAAAATAAAAATACATTAGACCGGAATGGGAATCATATTCCCTGGGAGGGGTCGGAATCCATTCCGCCTAGAATGGGAATGGGATTCCCTTGAACCAAACAGACCCTAATATGTATTAGGAGGTAATTAATAAAAACCCAGATGACTAGGAAAAAAGGCCATTACCCAATGTTGGTCCAAGTAATGGCTCTTAAACCCACATTGTCATGCTTTCCAGCTTATGATTTTAACATTACCCCAAGTAATGGCTCCTAAACCCAGCTGATGGGTCTTGGGAGGGGTAGACTGGATGCAGTCCTAACCTTTGCATTTTCTTTTGCACAAAGTGGCCACTCTCACACTTATACCTGCATCCTCACACTTGCCAACCTATGATTTTAACATTACACCAAGTAATGGCTCCTATGCCCAGCTGACTAGTATTTACGGATAAAGTAGCATTTTCTTTTAGAGCATTCAAAAGTTTAAGGTAAGAAGGTGTATCCATTTGTCTTCTCCAACATTTATGGATCTTAGGCCTCATAGTCAAAAGTATCATCATGACCAAGTGTAGTTCCAGGAATTTGGAGTGGTATCTAGGCAAGAACGACACCTCTTATAGATGCATTTTGTGGAAAGAAATAGAAAAAAACATATAATCAGTTCCAGAAAGGGTCAGATTCCAAATTGGCAATGGGAAGGGTGAACTTTGGAAAATGGAAGGACTTGCAGGTGGGTGATTAACTTAAGTGACCGTTTCTCTTCCTTGTTTACAATTACACGAGAGAACACTGCAAGGGTGGCTGATTATTCCATTCTAGATAACAAAGAGGTAGGTGTCTTAGAGTCCACAGTTCAGAAGAAATATGAGCGACTGGGAAGTTCAGGCTTTGGTGGAGCTACTGCCTTTGATCCAGGGAGTAAAACCTTGGCCAGCAGAAGAGGACAGAAGAGTCTGGACTTGGGATAACAGAGATCTTTTACTCAAGGTTTTTTAAATGTCAGTGTAGGTGGAAATGTTGGTCATCCAAGTATAGGAAACATGTCGGAAATATCTCATGGAGATATTGTAAAAATTATAGACATGATGGAAACATTGTAAAATATGCAAAGATATAGATTGGTATTTTATAAAATGATGAAAAAAGCATAGGCACACCTTTTTAAATTATTATTTTGTTCCAAATCATTAAACAAAGTTAAGAAACTAATTTGTAGACAAAAGAATATGTTCTGAATTATCAAAAAGAAAAAAGAATATGTCCTGAAGTTGTCCTGTAAACCTTAAGATTCAAAACTTCATGATAAAATGAGTTAAAGCAAAATTTAAACTCATAGAAAATGTACATGGTCGTAATAGATCAACCAAATAACCTATTACACCAAAAAAAAATACTAACATTTAATTTCATGTTTAAAATGAATATTGAGCTAGCTCAAAGTGGTAAATAAGAAGAATAAGCTAGGTGGGCAATAACGTTGTTACTCCACATATCTATAATATTGTCACCAAGTTATGTCATAATACTTTCTCTTATACTCTGTATAGTGCTGGTAGTGTTCACTAGGGAATATGTTGATTCCAGTAAAATTTCATGTTGCTACCAATGGATGTAGAAATGGAAATATGTCGTGGAAACTATCTCTTATACTCCACATAGTGCTGGTAGTGTTCACTGGGGAATATGTCAATTCCAGTAAAATTTTTTGTTGCTATCCATGGAAATGGAAATATTAGGGAATTTAGGGACATTTTAAACCATGCTTTTACTGTGAGATTTTTTCTTCAAAAATTTGGATCCAATGGAGGGAAATCTTGGAGTCTACAGTTCAGAAGATATACGAATGGCTGGGAAATTCAGACTTTGTGGAGCTACTCCATTTGATCCAGGGAGTAAAACCTTGGCCCGAAGAAGATAATAACACAGAATCTTTTACTGTGGGATTTTTTTTTTCAAAAATTTGGATCCAATGGAGAGAAATCAATTTCTTAGCTTCACTTTTTGGCATTTAGGCATCTGTTGTCCTCGGCTTTTTGTCATTTTAGATGGATTCCTAGAGAGCTGAATAGAGTAGCCGATTCTCTAGCCAAATCTGGGGTGGTGAGGGATTTTTTGCACAGTGACTCCTCAATGCCTCTGTAAATCCTTGGGATTCTTTTTTGGGCTGTTTTGTCTTGCCTTTTTCTTTGTACATCTTCTCATGTAGATCCCCTATTTTTAATGAAAGTTATTCTTTTATCTCAAAAAAAAAAAATATTTGACATTTAGGTGTGCCATGGAAGATGGCTTTTCTGACTTGGACTGCAACAGAAGTACTTAACAAGGGAAAATAATAGCAGAAACATGGGACTGGATGATGAAGTTGGTGGTCTATGTGCAACCCAACCACAATCAGTGAATCATCTGTTCTTGCACTTTCAAGGGGCCAGAAATTTATGGGTGAGGTATCTTTGTCTGTTTGGGGTTGAAGGATTCTTTTGGAGTTTTTTTTTTTTTAAGATGGTTGTCCGATTGGGCTTGACTCTTAGGGCAATTGTTGGGGCAGCGGAGCACCGGATCGTTATCCATTCTTTCAGAGATAAATTGAGGAAAATGATACCCCTACCATTTGTTTGGACCTTGTGGGGTGAAATGAATGCTTGAATTTTCGAGCATAAAAGCAGTTCTGAGGAGATATTGGCAATTTCTTTTGAAATAGGAGGTTTATTCGTGAACAGAGTTTTTCATTGATGCATAGGGTTGAATGTATATCCCCAATGTACAGATCTTCAGTGTACATGGTTCATTGTAATTTTTTACACCGTGTCAATGAAAAGTACAATACTTAGAAAAAGTGAATCTAAATCAAATGATCAATCTAAAGATTCTAAACATCTTCAGTATGCTAGAGCAATCACTCAATTCTGTTTCTAGGCACTCAGTTCCTGGAGAAAAAGGGGTCATGTGGACATGCATGTATATGGCGGCATCCTTCAATTTTTTTTTTTCTGAATGGATCATTTAACAGCTTTGGTTGAAGACAAGGAGATCATTTGTTCTCATTCTTGTTCACTGTAGTTGGGGATAGGGCTGTTCATAAGAAGGCCCAACCCAACCAAACCGACCAACCCGGACCGACCCAACCCGAGTCGGTCGGGTTTTCATCAGCATGGGTCGGTTTCGGGTTGTGCAAATTCCTAAACCGATGATTCGGATCGGTTTCGGTTTTCACTCAAGAGAACCGAACCGACTTAGTTCCTAGTTCAAACATGAAGTTCCAAAGCCCATTAGGCCACCTAGTTTTTGAATGGTTGCAAGAAACTTTGGATTAGTGAAAAGTGATTAATGAACAACTTTTGTGATTAACTTTTCATTTAAATTTTATCATAGGAGATGGCTGAAATGATGTTCAATTTATGATTGTTTTTAAAATTAGCAAGATTTTATCATAGGGATCAACTTAGAACCGAAACCAACCCAAACCGACCCAACCCGACTCAAACCGACCAGGTCGGTTTTGCTTAACACTGGGTCGGTTTCGGTTTCTATGTCAGGTAACCCGACTAGGTCGGGTCGGTTGGAAAAACCGCAGTAAACCGACCCAACCCGACCCGTGAACAGCCCTAGTTGGGGATGCTCTAAATAGACTACTAATCTAGTAGTTTAGAGAAGAAGGTATAGGATAAGAAGGTAGGGTTTATCCGTTTATCTTCTCCAGTATGTAGATGACACCATTTTCTTTGAGGAGGAAAGAAACTGAATCACCAGTATTGAAGAATCATTCAATGTCTTTAATGGTTCTTAGGCAGTTAGGCCTTTAAAGTAAATTTAAACATCTGAGCTCAAAAGAAAAAGGTGAAGCTAGTGGAAAGTATTCATGGGGTGGTAGACAATGGATGAGACTCTGGGATTCTAGCAAGGACTACAAGAGCATCTCCCTGGAAAGCTATTCAAGCTATTTTGCCCTTGTTCTCTCCCTAGATCAAGTATGACTTGCACTTAGGCAACCTCATTAAATTCTGGTCTGGGAACATGTTTGGGTTGGGGATTCCTCTTTGAAAGATCAATTTCCAGCTCTTTTTGCTATCTCTACCCTTAAAAATGAACCAGTTTCCTCTTTCCTTGTACCTTCTAATTCACCTTTTGGATTCAGTTGGAACCTGGGTTTGAGAAGAGATATCAGGGACACAGAGTTAGACTGTATTTTAGCCTTATTATCCATTCTTGAAGGGGTTTTCCTTGAACCAACAAAGGCAGATAATAGAATCTGGATACTCACTCCCTCGGGTTTGTACACTTGTGCCTCTTTCTTTAAGGCCCTTTTACCTCCTTCTGTTGGATTGTCCTTCCCTGTTAAAGAGGTGTTGTGTCAACCTATACCTCCAAAGGTTGGGAGTTTCTATTGGGAAGCCTTTCTGGAAAGAGTTAATACAAGGGGATTTACTTCAAAGAAAAAGACCCAATAGTTGTTTGTCTCCTCACTGGTGTGTCCTCTGTAAATCTGATGGTGAGTCTGGATACCATTTACTAATTTCTTGTCAATTTGTTAAAATTATTTGGGAATGGTTTGCTTCTTTGTTTGGGTGCAGATGGACCACCCCCCCTGAATGTGCAAAGCTTATTCACCTCCATGCCTAACTAGCCAACAAAAAGGGCCAAGATCATGTGGAGATGTGTTAGGGCTGCAGTATGTTGGACTGTTTGGGAGGAGAGAAATTCACAGATTTTTCCAGATAAGGAGAGAAGCTTGGAAGTAATTTTGGCGACTATTCACATTAGGGTGATACATTGGTTGAAAACTTTGGAATTGTTTACAGATTTCTCAATTGATGAGATGATAAGAAATTGGAAGGAGATTGTAGATTCAGCTTCAATTAAGAAGATTTCAAGTTCTTGCTGGACACCTCCACCTCACGGGTTTACCAAACTGAATTTTGATGGCAGCAGCATGGGCAATTCAGGGCCCTCCGGAATAGGGGGAGTGATAAGAGATGAAAAAGGGAATCTGTTAGCTATGTACTTTAGTCCAATTGGGGTGGGAGATTCCTTGAGGACTGAGATACTAGGAGCTCTTGAAGGGATACAAAGGGTCAAGGACATGCATATTAAAAAATTGATCATAGAAGGTGATTCTGAAATTGTGGTGAATTGGCTAAAAGATGACAACTCTAAGCTCTGGAATAACAGCAATTAAAAGAGGAAATTCAAGTGGCAGACTAAGGACATTGAATACATGCAGTATTTTCTCATTCATGTTCTTTGCATCGATCATTTTCCTAAGCATCAAACCTCCAACCTTTTTCTTTTTTTTTTTTGGAATGCAAATTGTATTCTAGTTTTCCAGTCTGTACAGCTAGATCTTCTGTCCAAGTGCAAGTACTCAAATCTTTCCTTGTGCTATTCATGTTATCTATAGCTTTCCAATTATTGTTTAGACATTATTATTTATTTTATTTCAGAGCCTTTACTGTTTTACTGGGAAGAAGGAAAAGAGATCCCCCTGAACAAGGTTTCACAACATTAATTGCAGTGGCACCCTATCCTTTCAGTGTTTTAGTTTTTTCCAATTAAAAAAGAGGAAGAATGCTTAGAGGACCAAAAGTAAAACGGAGATGTAGTGAGTTGTATGCCAGACCCTGCAACTTTTTTGGCTTTATGCATAAATAAGAGATCAATGAGCTATGGGTTTAATATCGGAGGTCTTTTCATGCACAAGATACGCAATTACACAGTTTGTCTTGTAATAATTCATTTCTCTCCCGTTTGATGATATAGCACGTTTAAAGTTTAAACTATAATATGTAGCTAATCCATGGTACCAGGCAAGATGTTGTGTTCTTCCACAAAGCTTATGTTTTCCTTTCCCCATGGACCAGCTTTATACAAGGGATGCAACCAGGAGTTGGAAGCAAACTGGATCAGATGGAAATAGCCGATTAACCATCAAGGAACCCTCAGCAAACATAGTTTTGTTGGATTATATCTTGTCTGAGAAGTGGAAGGGCATTGTAGATTTTGATGATCACCTTGATGACATTGGCAAGTAAGAACCACCTCTTTCTCTCTATTCGCTGCTCTTTCCATAAGTCGGTACCATTGTCTCAATTGCATTTATGCTTTTCATTGCTTTCAAAGTTTGATTATTACCATCTCGTCTGTGTGTGCAGGGATTGGTTGAATCCGGATCTTTTCAAGTAGATTTTCAGATAGTTCTGAGCTATTTTTGGTGCCTGTTACTGTTTCTTATAATCAGCCCTTGGAATTATTGTTTGTTACCTGGACTTGCTTGTGCTGGGTTGGGAAGACATGGTGATTGCTCACAAAGCAAGAATGGAGTTTTTACAGGCCGAGAAAAAAACTTTTAGCCTGGGTGACTAGGAATGGTCTTGATCAGAACTGGCTGTATATTTCCAGTCCTTTAGACAGTATGCCCGGGCAGTTAGTTTTCTCTGTACCAAACACAGAGTAGCCACAATGGTGGCCCATTATTTTGAAAAGCCTAGTGTTATTTGAGTCATAGATGCGAAAATAAATGCAATTGTAGAATGTTGTTACGGGACCACCTATGCTGCTGTTTGTTGTGGGCTTTAATCGGCTCTGGACCCGGATTTACAATTTCAACACTTGGTCTATTTTGTCAAGCGTATCTCTCGTGTCGTGTGTAAGACTTGGGAGTGGAGGTTTCCCCAGTTCAAATCATCCCCCATTTAAACTGTTGGATGCCGGATATTGCCCAACTGGTGTAGTTTGGTCTTATACTTTTATTGGTAAAGCGTTTGCAAGGAAATCTGGAAAGTTGAAGCCGTATTGAATATTATTATCATATCCAATCATCGTACACACGTATATAGGCCCAATTCATTGTTCCCCGTCAATGGTGATATGACAGTGCTCGTATGAATGTAAACCGTGTCCTTAGAATTGTTACTTCATCTTTTGGCTAAAACACATCAAATCTTGTCTAAACGATCAGTTAATGATAGTAAGCCTGTTTTTCTCCCTGAAGATCATAATTCTGCTACTTATCTGTGACATGAGTGATGTTCAACTAATTTGGTAGCATAATTGCCTTCCAAAAATCAATTTATTGATGGTTGCATACAACCACAAGTCATTGAGGGGGAAAAAATAAGGAATTGTCAATTGAGAGAATAAGATTGTCCTTTAGTTAGGGGTGAACCGCTGATTATCAAAAATCGAAAAGCCAAACTGAATAATTTAGTTACCGAACGGATGCAGTATGAGAAGTTTCACTCGTGGCTTGAGACATGGGAGATTCTCTCTCCTCTTATTTGTTTATTTCGGCTATGGAAGGCTTTTCTACACTTTTAGTTCCTGCTGAAAATTCTGGTCTTATCCATGAGATTAAGGCCTGTAGGGATTCTCCCATCTCATTTGTTTTTATTTTTCTGATGATGTTTATTTTTCTCAAAGCTTCTAGATAGGAAGTGGCTTATTTGTTAGATGTGATTGATCAATTTAAGTCCATGTCGGGTCAATTGATTAATTGCAGTAAATTGGATCTTTTTTTGTAGAAGTACTAATATCATAAGGGTGAAAAGCTTTTGAGAAGGCAGTTAAGAATGGGGAACTTGGATTGTCAATCGAAATATTTGGGTGTTCCTTTGTTTTGGGCTCCTAATAAGGCTCATTCTTTAGGCCTATATTTTGGATAACTTGAGGAATAAGCTTAATGGGTGGAGAGCATTTAATCTGTCACAAGCCGGTTACCGGTAAACTGGTTCTTTTGAAGTTTGTGTTGTAGTCTGTATCCAATCATGCTATATTTTTGTTCCAGTTACCTTCCTTGATTAATAATTCCGTTGACAAAATTCGGAGGAATTTCTGGTGGGGTTCTGGTAAGAATTAGTGCTTTTAGGTGGACAAATTGGGTTCGCATCTGCCCCCTACAGACTTGCCCCCCAAAAACGTCCCACGAAACCTAAGCGCGGCACATGTCATGACACACGCGCTAGGATGACTCGTGCAGTTTCTATTTTACGCCGTTTGTATCATGTCCGTTAATTCTTTTTTGCCAAAAGGGTTTATTCTCCCATTCTGGGTATTCTTTCTCCTATTCTATTGTGAACTGAAACCCTTGTGCCTCTTTTTGTAACTCACCCACCGGAGATAAATTCTTTTGAGTTCCGCCGGCTGACGCTGACGGCCATACAAACGGAGAGAGAGGAGAGAGAGAGAGAATTAAGAATCGTTGTTGTAAAATCAATAATAATTTCACAGTAGAAACAATTCAATGTAGATGATTTAATAGATACAGAAGAAACTTAAGAAAAAAAATTATAGATGATGAATACGAAAAAAATTAATGAACCTAAGTAATTAATTTCTTTTATTTTTTTACCTGGGTCTTACTCTTTATTTTCGTAAGTTTGAATTAAACCCTCAACTCCACGAATACGGAGTGGTGGTCGCAGGTCGCCACCTTAAATCAGCACGCTTTGAGAATGACCTCTGTATGTTCCTACACTACCTTCCATGCCAAGTTCACATGGCGGTCCTCCGTAAGGCTTGCACCAACAGCGAACCTGATCATGTAAACACCCCCAACCACCGCATGCGTCATGTATATGCGCCTAGCCGAGTTGATCGACTCTAGCAACTTACGGTTGATCTCGTTTGCACTTTCCAACTCCGACAATTGCCTGAGCGTCTCATCCTCGTGATCCTTCATTCCATTGCAAAATTCCTCGGCACCACAATCTCAATCCTCTTGTCCATGAGGGTGGATTTGGCCCTCCAATGATATTGTGACACATGGCACCTCAGAACAACTAGGTGACACCCGAAACCATTTTGGCAACAACTTGCCTTAGCCAAGTTGATGGTGTCCCACCTGACGGCCTGGCACAGGCGCGAGCTGGCATAGGCACGAGCTGGCACAGGCACGACCTAGCATAAGCACAAGCTGGCATAGGCGCGACCTGGCACAAGCACGAGCCGGCAACCTGGCCCAGGCATCGACTTAGCGACTTACAAGACGTGCTCGCCGACGAATTCGACATGCATATCCTAACACTCCCACGATCTTTGGAAGTTGGCCCACGTGCCGAACGACTTAGAGGGTGGTTAACGTGCATGGTGGTTACCTCCAGGAATCTCGAACCACTTAGACGACCTCGCAAAAATCTCAGATATGGTGCATGAAGCCCACGCCAAACAATGCCTATATAAAGGCACCAACCCCAAGGGCAAGGAGAGAGCAAGTAAGCATATTCTAGTTCTCATACTTTATGATTTTTAGCTCGCAATCTACTATGAGAGTACTGACTTAAGCATCGGAGCAACCTCGCCGGGTTAGCCACCCCGGGTCCTCTGACGTTTGGTTCCTTGCAGGACACTAAAGAGCAAGGAAGCTCGTCACCTAACCTGCCCAGCTCGGCACCTCCCAAGTAGCTCGCCACCAAGCAGTTCGCCACCAAGTAGCTCACCACCAAGTAGCTCATCAAGGTAGCTCACCACAAGGCAGTTCGCCACCAGGTAGTTCGCCGCTAGGTAGCTCGCCACCAGACAACTCGCCACTAGGGAGCTCCACTTCAATCTCTGAGTCACAGCCTCACATGCCACTTGGAAACAGACGTCACTGACGAGGTACTTAGCCAAAAAATTGATACATCACAAAAAAATTGATACGTGACCCGGAACGGTTACATTAGTTACCTTCTCTTCGAAGTGCTTAGCCATTTTCACGTGGGTCCGAAGGAAATTTCTTAGGTTCCACACCATAGCTCCAAAGCACCATCCAGAGCTTCATGGCTCGGAATCGACGAGTAAGGGCTATTTTCCAGTCTTTGTAGTCTATCACTTTCTTTGATTCAGTAGCTTTGTTCCTCAAATAGTCAGAACTGGTTGACAGGGCCTTAACAAGGGCGCTAGGGTCCTTGACCCAAAGGCAGCAGCAACCGAGAGTGGTGAAGAACCACTTGTGTGCATTGAAACTAAATGAGTCTGCATCATCTACCCCATCGATGAAGTGTTTGAACTCGGGACATATGCATGCACTTCCAGCGTATGCTGCGTCGATGTGAACCCAAACTCCATACTCTTTGGCCACTGCGCATAGAGCAATTGGGTCAACGGCTGTCGACGATGTAGTACCAACAGTAGCACAGAGGAATAATGGGATGAGCCCAACTTGTATATCTGTTTGGATTGCAGACCGAAGAGACTCGGGGGCCAGCCCGAATGAGGTGGCCTTACTCGTTGCAACGGCACGGAAGTTGTTTGGAAAGATCCCTGCAATCTGGGCAGCTTTCCGGAGTGCACAATGGATCTGATCTGATCCACAAACCACCAACTTCCCTATGTTCTCCCTACCAATTCTGTTCAACATCCGATCTCTGGCTGCCGTGAGCGTGCACAGGATGGCTTTGCAAGTAGTCCCTTGTAGCACACCACCACCATTTCCAGAGAAGAGGTGTTAAGATTGAATTAGGAGTCTCCGTTGTGATTGAATTAGGAGTCTCTGTTTATCTTTTTGTATACATCTTCTTATCCTTGTCATGTATAGTTCAGTTGGGAAAGGTAGTTTGAGTCCTTGTAAACGTAGGAGACTCGACTGTATTCATGTATATATATATCGGCATTCTCAATGAATGAAAACATAGAAAAAGAACAAACCAGAAAGCTCTGGTTTTACATGGTATCAGAGCACCGAAACAGGAGCAAGAGGTCTACGTTCCAAGACCTCAGGAAATTCAGTCCGGCGCTGTGTTTCTTTTCGCAGAGCTCTTCCGACGGTTCTTCTTGTGTGCATAACAGAGAAGACTCCGGCGAGTCAACATTCTACTTGTGCGCATAACAGATTCAGTCTGGCGCTATGTTTTTCACTAAGCAGATTCAGTTCGGCACAGTGCTTTTCACAGACCAGATTCAGTTCGGCACTATGTTTTTCGCAGACAAGTTCAATCTGACACTGTGTTTTTCGCAGACCAGATTCAGTTCGCCACTGTGTTTTTTTCGCAGAGCTCTTCCGATGGTTCTTCTTGTGCGCATAACAGATTCAGTCTGGCACTGTGTTTCTTTTTGCAGAGCTCTTCCGACGGTTCTTCTTGTGCGCATAACAGATTTAGTCCGGCGCTGTGTTTTTCGCAGAGCAGATTCAGTTCGGCACTGTGCTTTTCATAGACCAGATTCAGTTCGGCTCTGTGTTTTTCGCAGACCAAGTTCAGTTCGGCATTGTGTTTTTCACAGACCAAATTCAGTTCGACACTGTGTTTTTTTCGCAGAGCTCTTCTGACGGTTCTTCTTGTGCGCATAACAGCGAAGACTTCGGCGAGTCAACGTTCTGCGGTAGTTTTTTTTTAGACATCCGGAGATCGGTTCTCTGTCTTTTGTGGCGATTCTGCCGCTGATTGTGGGCTTTTAGACACAATAGTCGGCAATGACTGAAAACAGAGAAAAAGGAGCAGGGGCAGGAGGAAAAGGTCGTGGCGGCCAAGTCAAGGCCAATCCAGCCAAGACTGGGATAAATGGACTGAGTAGTGAGCAGTGGAGCATGTTGCTCAACCTTTTGAACACACAGAAAGAGGGGAATCAACGACTAAGTGGTAAGCAAAAATTGTCAGAATGGAAAATAGATACAAGGGCCTCTCATCATATGACAGGAAGTCTCGGGTCGATGAGAAACATAAAGAATGTCATTCCGTGCTCTGTCGGGCTACCAGACGGGAAAGCGACAATAGCAGAGAAAGAAGGCACAGTTGCACTAGACGATCATCTGAATCTGACTAGTGTTTTATATGTGCCTAGTTTGCATTGCAACTTATTTTCTGTATCGCAATTGATTGCGGAATCAAA